TCACTAAATGAATTGTTGTAAATTGAGGACTGCCTATATGAATAATCCATTGTGTCTCCTGACATTTTCTAAAAGTGTCCAATATTCTCTTAAATATTTACATTTCAGTTTTCCTCTTCAATCATCTAGTTACCCAGGAACCGTAAGCAAGAAATCTAGAACAGGCATCTCTTAAGATTGCTGTCTCTTCTACTTGTAACTTTCTAGCAAAGAAGCTACTTTCCCAAGTGTCATCCATCTCTTTAAACATCCCTCTGCACTGAAGAGAGTGTGTGTGTGTTTAACATATACACATACATATATACAGTATATATACCTGCCTGAACTGGATTGTCTGTTCATCCATACCTTGGTCTCTGGCTATAAACATAAACATCCCTTTTCTCACTAGCTGATGTAATCCCCCTCTTTCTTCACACATATACTGCTCCACACACTCACAGGCAGAGTTATGTGCCTGATTGTGTTATATGCGCGTGTGTGTGTGTGCTGATTTGGAACAGGGTTTGTGTAGGATGGGTAGTGTGTCACCTTCTGTAACCAAAATAAACCCATTGCAGATGGGAGACATGAGATGAAGTTTCTCAGCTAGCAGCTGGGGTGACGCTACATTGCTAGGAATTATCCACAAGGCCTAAGAAAGCAAGAGGTCCACTATTACAGACAGGAACCTATCCCATTCTTGAGTCCCCTAAACAGGGCTGCTATTCAGCTTATGCCTGTATTCTTTGCCATTCTCCCCTGGTCCTCTATCCTCTATCCAGCCCAAATACCACTTTTCTATCTTATGTGCAGATATGATCACAGGTAATTGTATCCTGAGAAGAAGGGGAGTTATGTCAATGGCACAAATGTGGCCAGAGAAAACATAATTAGAAACTCCAGTAGATACGAGTGAATAGTTCTTGAAAATGCATTGCAAGTGGAGAAGATGTTAGACTTTGAAAATGCAAAATGATATCCTGAAGAGAATTATAAGTTTGTGACCGGAAATAAAAGGGCAGGTAATATTTGTGGGTAGCCAACAAGGAGGTACTGAGGAAAATGGGGCAGGGAACCTGAACCCCAGAGGTCCACATCTTTGAAGGAGATTGGTGCAGTCATGCTAGCTGGGGAATTCTGGGAGTTGAAGTCCACCCATCTTCATGTTACCAAGGTTGAGAAATAAGTGGTGCTTACATTTTGGCTGTTTTCATGTGGCACATTGAACCACCAAAATAGCTGGCTAGATCTCAAATTTCCATCTTCTGCAAACCTAGTCCAAAATACCATCCAATCCCAGACAATTGGTCCAATCCAGTAAATCATAATTCAGTTAACCATGCATAAACTTGTTCCGTGACAATAATCCTTCTGTGTCTCACCCTTATACAAAGAGAAGTAAACCAAAAAGATTATATTTCTTAAGGCATTTTTATATAGCTAAAACTATAACATATTCATAAGAAAGTGTAGAAATTCTGGTTTTTGACATTCTTGGTAGGGTGGCATGAGAGGAGGAAGAAGCTTGTTAAAAATGTGTGGATGAAAATCGGGATAGTTGAAGGAAGTCTGGAATCAGTGTTTTATTTCTGGAACACAAGTTGTTCCTGTCAGGTACCAGACGCATATCTCAAGGGAAACTAAGCATGTGTGATGTTCTTCCTCTCTGAGTATGAAGAATTCACCCAAATGCAGAACTTCCAAAGAAGTGCATCTTATGAATAGAAAGGGAAAAAAGGCATTTGCATATAATTTTCAAATTACCAGATAGATCTTTGGCAGAAATTCTGTATCAAACTGTTAACAGGCACTCTTCCCTCATAATTTCAGTGTGTAGAAGAGCAAGCAGAGCTGGGGGGCAGAGCTAAGCACGTCATCAGTTTAGAGTCAATAAGTTGTCACAGATGGTCCAAGTTCAACCCCTTTTGAATTCCGTTGACCCTTATTTGGTGCCAATATAGTATTGAACTTTAGTTGTTGATTAGATTCTTGTGTATAGGCTTGAGCAGTAAACCCTTTTTGAATTGCAACTTAATATATAGTTCTAATCCTTTGTGCTTGACAAGTGTCAGCTGAAAGTTTGGGGAGAGAAAGTTGTGTAAGTTCTCCTTGGTGGTTTCTCCCCACCATTAGAAGGAGATTAAGTGGAAAATGTTCCTCTTATTCACTCTTGTCATGGCTTACATTTCTGGAAAAGGCAAGTGAATGCAATCTGTGAGGTCAAGGAACAAAAGCAGAAGCGTAGTAGAAGGTTGAGCTTGGCAGATGATCCTCTTATTGGACTAAATTTCAGCAGATTGTGCCAAGTTACACCAAACCCTGTTGCTAGTCCTGGTCCACCAACCCTCTGCAAAAATATTTTTATAATAGAGTGTGAAACCTGTCTTCCCACACACTAATCAAATACTGCTTTCAAATTCTGGTCTTTAATGTCCTCATTAAGGGCTGAAAACCTTGATAAAAGCAGAGAGAAAAACTGTACTGTGTCCTCCTCACCCTTATCATCCCTGTTACCATCTGTGTTCTTAGAAAGTTCTTAGGAGGTTTTGTTGTTCAAACTTGTCTAGGAGCTAAACTGCAAGGACAACTGTATAGTAGTTCACAGTTCAAGCTATATAGGATCCTTTCTGCTGTATTGCACACTGTTTGATTCAGGAACATGGTTTATCTTTGGGTTGGTCAATATTATTTATATAGGAATTGATTATTTTATTGGCTGGAACAAGCATGAACTCAAGATGGTCCTGCAGGTCTCATGTTAATAAAGGACTGAAATGATCTATTCTGCACTTGAACATATATTCAGAAAAGCTATAAGAAATCTAGGATCTTCTTCATGTAGATCATTTTACTACTATTTACAATCTTTTGAGAAATGTACATAGAGTCCAAGAATCCTGTGTTTTTAGAGAGGGATTTGTTTTAGAGAGTTGCCTCCGACAAGATGGTGGTATACAAGGTAGGAGATAGATAGATAGATAGATAGATAGATAGATAGATAGATAGATAGATAGATAGATAGATAGATAGATAGATAGATAGATAGATAGATAGATAGATAGATGGAGAGAGAGAGAGAGATGGTAGGTAGGTAGGTAGGTAGGTAGGTAGACAGACAGACAGACAGACAGACAGACAGACAGACAGACAGACAGACAGACAGACAGACAGACATGGATGGATGGATGGATGGATGGATGGATGGATATGGAAAAGTCACATTTTTCAAAGACAGTTCAGCAAAATTATTACCACACTATTGCATATTCAGATAGTTGTTGGGGGACATGTTCTACCATTGGTGAAATGTAATTTTTTTATACATGCAAGAGATATTCCAGTCAACATCCAGCCACTGGATCCAGCAATCATATTTAGCTTTCCCACAATGGCTCTCATCTGAACAACACTTAGAAATGTTTTAAGAAATCAGAAAATGGTGTTCTCAGACTTAGTTGCCTGATGTTATTCAATACAGCAAAGTTGTCAATACTACTGCAACCATCATGATCAGCCAAGGTTGTGAAGGGGCCTCATCCATTAAGCAGTTTTCCAAATTTAGAGCCAGCCATGGGCTAAGTAGCAAAGTTTGGTAGATATCAGATTACTCTTTCAAAAAGAAGAAGAAACCTCGGGTTGGAAAATGACTCCTGTATGACACTTACAAAATGTCAGAAAATTCGTTAGGCTGAATACAAGCAATCATAATTCCCCTGTTAAAATTGTCACTTTAATGTGCAAGAGTAGAAACTAGAATTCCTGGCACATGAGAACAATAAAGAGACCAGAGACAGAAAAACAGGGTTCCTAAGAAACTACAAACTACATGGAGCCATTCTGAGTATCTTCCTGCCAAATGCTGGCATAGGATTTTTGCAACCTGTATTGATAAATACAAGCCCTGGGAGACTAGAAGTTATGGGACTTGTAATCCTGGTTCATCGAGGCTTCCCTTCTTAGGGGAAGCCTGCTCTAGTACACATTACAGGAGGAAACTTCATCCCTGCCCTGGGTTTCATAGTCAAATATTTAACATTTCCAAATCAGAAAAATGCAAAGAGGAGAGACCACCCTTAGGAAATCTTTCAGAACTTATGTACAATATCAGATTCCTTGGGGCCTGGAGAGAGTTTTAATGGATTTGGTGGCCCCGCTTGCTCAAATTATCCAAGACAATGTTGAAGGAAAAGTCTTCATTCTGGTTCATCCAAGCCGGGGATAAATAAACAACATGGCGACTGCTTTAGAAAGAAGGTTGCAGTTTATTGAAGAGCCAGACAGAAAGATGGTTCTGGCAGGAAAGAGGAGAGAAAAAAAGGGCTGAGCACATGTGGGGAGTAGGTTTTTATACCCTCTTTTGTTTGGAATAGTTTCCTGTTCCTGATTTAGGCTTTGTATTTCCTGTGTCACGTATTCTGACCTGAGTCTGGGTGTGCCTTTCTGGTATTTTGATGGTGATGGGTTAGTCCTATTATGTCCCAAAGGTCATATCCTGCTTCCCTGGTGCTGGGCTAATGACTCTTAGAATTTGGGTGGGGTATGCAGATTTTAGGTGTCTTTGTCTTCCTAGCTTCTAGCTCTAACTTTCCTGATGGTTTACATCTGCATTTGTACAGAGCTGGCTTCTGCTTGGGACAGAGAGACTTGGGGGCAGGGTTGGTTTCTGCTTTTAAAATCCTTTTAAGGAAATATATTTTTGTGCCCTTTTAATATTTACTTCTCTGAGGGGGGACTGACTTCCCACAACAATATAAAGATCTCTGGGAATCAACACATTTGATTCAAAAACGGGCAACAAATGTTCCGGTAAAAATCACAAGGGTTTTTGTCTGAATTCGTCTGACATGCTTGAGCGGAAGGTTAGACTAGAAGATCTCCAAGGTCCTTCCAACTCTGTTATTCTGTTGTCAGTTTTGTTTGGTTTTTAGTACTCCCCTGGAGGTTTGGACTGATTGGGGTTTATTTCTCTTCCAGGTCCTTGCGCTGCATTTGGCCAGTCGCTCTCTCTCTCACCTAGGATGAGTAACTGCAGCAGTCGCGCCTTGACCCTGCTGTCTAGTGTTTTTGGAGCGTGCGGGCTGCTCCTGGTGGGCATTGCTGTCAGTACTGACTATTGGCTGTTCATGGAGGAAGGGATTGTATTTCCGCAAAACCAGACCACGGAAATAGTCATGGCACTCCATGCTGGCCTCTGGAGGGTTTGCTTCTTTGCAGGTAAGGGTCTAAGGACTCCCCTCCAATGCTGCCTTCATTTATTAATGGTAGGACCATATTATTAGGATCATAAGATGATTAAAGCCCTGGAGACTAAAAGACATGAAGAACGGTTGCAGGATTTGGGAATGACCAGTCTAGAGAAAAGAAGGACTAGGGGGGACATGATAGCAGTATTCCAGTATTTGAGAGGCTGCCACAAGGAGGAGGGGGTCAGTTTATTTTTCCAAAGCACCAGAAGGCAAGACAAGAAACAATGGATGGAAACTGATCAAAGAGAGAAGCAACCCAGAATTAAGGAGAAACTTCCTAACAGCGAGGACAATTAACCAGTGGAACAGCTTGCCTTCAGGCGTTGTGGGTGCTTCATGACTCAAGGTTTTTAAGAAGAGACTGGACAGCCACTTGTCTGAAATGATAATATAAGGACCCCTGCTTGATCAGGGGGCTGGACTAGAAGACCTCCAAGGTCCCATCCAGCTCTATTCTGATCCTCTGATCTTAGGAGCAACCTTAGTATCTCCATCTTAGGATCTCAGGACTAAACCCAGACTCAACGTTCCTCATTTCCTAAATTCCCGTATATTCTTCAGATCATATCAGATGCAACCAGAACCACTCATGAATAACAAAAATCAATAACTTTATTGTCTACCACCTATGCTACAAGAATCTCACCAGACTGCTTACCTTGGGAACAACCAGATAAGGCTTCATGGATCTTGAGGGAGGTCTAGCTTGTGCTGCTTGCAGCTGCAGAAAGACTCCAAGCTAAGCTTCTTCCAGCCTAGCCCTAGCTGATAATTTTACAACAGAACAACGCTTGATAGCCACAGCAGCAAAATAATGCCTTGGGCAAAATTGATATTTGGTTTATTGTATTTATATCCCGCCCTTCTCCTGGTGGACTCAGGGCGGCTTACAGCCAGTTAAAACAGAACAATTGATACAAATCTACAAAATTTAAAATAAATTAAAAGATATATTTAAATAGGCCTTTTCTTATTTGGGTAAATTCTAGTCAATTTATTTCTGGTTGACTACATGCAATGTTGAAATCACTGGGCAATGTGGGAAACCATGAAATAGATTTCTTCCCAGAAGGTCTGGAGTGGTCTGCAGCTCAGCTCTTGACAAGGTTCTTCAGAGAACTGTCATTTACCTAGATTTGCCTAAAAAGTTGGCTCTGAATTCTGAGCTATGCTAATGAGGCTGGGGAGGCAGGGAAGAGTTGACCTTATGTTATCTCCAAGTAAGGAGAATCCATTAAGGGTCTTGGAATGAGAAGGCCTGCCTGTCTTCTTTTCAATGAATAATGCTAGAAAGATTGCAAATACTGCCTTTACAGATACTGCATTTGTTTAAATTATGCAATTTAACTATCCAGCCAGGCACATTTAGCTATCTTGTCTTTCCTGTGCAACGATATCACCCTTTATTCCTGCCTCTAAGTCAAGGATTGTTACCCGTTTTGTGCCACAGATCCTTTGGACAGTCTGGTGAAAGCTGCAGACCCCTCTCCAAAAAAATGCATTTTAAATTGGTGTCTCTCGATCTCAGCAGCTCTAAGATGTGTGAATTCCCAGAATTCCCCAGCCAACTGGCTAAAGAATTCTGAGAAATGAAGGCCACACCTCTTAACATTGCGGACATTGAGAAACACTGATTTAGATACATCAAATAACATGCATAGATAGAGGTAGTCCTCCATTTACAACCATTTGCTTAGTGACCGTTCATAGTTACAATGGCACTGAAAAAAAAGTGACTTTTGTCCAGTTTTCACAGTTATGACCTTTGCAGCCCATGGTCACATGATCAAAGTTTGGCCGTTTGGCAACTGGCATCTATTTATGACAGTTGCACAGTCCCGTGGTCACGTCATCACCATTTGTAACCTTCCCAACCAGTTTCCAACAAGCAGTCAATGGGGGAAGCCAAATTCACCTAACGCAGGGGTAGGCAACCTTGTGGACTTCAACTCCCAGAATTCCTGAGCCAGCCATGCTGAGGGGAAAGGGAGAGGTTTCCAAGCTGAGCCATGCTGGCTCAGGAATTCTGGGAGTTGAAGTCCACGAGTCATAAAAGAGCCAAGGTTGTCTACCCCTGACCTAACGCCTGCATGATTCTCTTAACAATTGCAGTGATTTGCTTAACAAATATGACAAAAAGTTCATAAAATGGGGCAAAACTCACTTAATGACTGCCTTGCTCAATTTTGGGCTCAATTGTGGTCATAAATCGAGGATTGCCTATACTAGGAACTCTATGACCCATTGGCTCATCCTTTCAGAAATATTTCCTTATCAGATTCTTCAGAGTTTTTAACAGTGACAGAATTTCTAATGTACTGCCTTTATTGGAAATGAATTCAGAGACGTATCTGTCTTGAAAGTAGCCCAGATTGAACTCCATAGCACAATCAAACTGTCAGCCTCCAGCTTGAATATCCAAATAAACTGGACACAAACATCAGCACAGAAAATATTTTGTGACATTTTGTATTACACCATAAACTGTTTTATGATGATTTTTGTGTCATAAAAATGTTTTATAAAATTTGCCAAATTTCATTTGAATGGGAGTCCTGGGTCCCAGGTTTTGGATACATTCTGTAAGTTAGCCCATTTGAAATCTCTCAGTTCAAAAATTGTTGCCCTATGACGCACTGTTTTGCCCAGTTAACCAAGAATGAGAGCTTTAGTAGATCTGTGTTTGTGGATGTGCACATATGCACACACACACAGACCCCAGGAATTTAAAACAATTTGATGGCACATAATCAATCAATCAATCAATCAGTTGTCAAGTAACGACAATACTTATTCCAGTATCTGAGGGGCTCCACAAGACAGAAGGGGTCACGTTATTCACGAAAGCACCAGAGGGAAGGACGAGAAACAATGGTTGGAAACTGATCAAGGAGAGAAGCAACCTGGAATTAAGGAGAAACATCCTGACAGTGAGGACAATCATCCAGTAGAACAGCTTACCCCCAGAAATTGTGGGCGCTCCATCACTGGAGACTTTTAAGAAAAGATTAGACAATCACCTGTCCTAGATGGTGTATGATCTCCTGCTTAAGCAGGTGGCTGGACTAGAAGACCTCCAGGGTCCCTTCCAACTCTATTCTATTCTATTCTATTCTATTCTATTCTATTCTATTCTATTCTATTCCTTTGCTAGATCTAAGGTAGGGTGTGTGGAGTAGTACAATAAAGAGGCGCACATAAGAGACATTTCTTTGTTTGTTTTCTTGCTAGATTGTTATCCTGGAGCTCAAAGTCCTGCGCCCCTTAGTTCCTCCTCTGCTTTTGCTCCACAACAATATTCCTATGAGGTGGTGGGGGAAGAGTGAGTGGCCCAATGTTACCCACTGAACTTCCATGGAAATAGAATTTGAATCTGAGTCTCCAGTGTTGATCTACTAGATCTCATGAACAAACTAGTGCATATGCATACCACATGCTCTTTGGAACGTGGGACTTTGGCTACTTGTTCCTTGACTCAGGGGCCCTTCCTAGTGGCCTTGCCTGTGGCATGCTGGTAGAAGGGGAGGGTTAACCGGCTGAACCAGCTGCCAGGAAGCTGTTGAAGTGATGTAGGAGAAGAAGTGGAGGAGTTAAAGGAGGGATAAGCCTAGAAACCCTACATAGCCATAAGTGAACTAAACCCAACCTCCCTTGAATTCTGCTGATCCCATCTAACCTCAAACAGGTATTAACCCATTAGTTAAGAAGATTCTTGTGCACAGGCATGATTAGCAATAAATCAGTTCAACTGGACCTTCACGTGGGGATCTGTGAGGATCTGATCTTTTGTGGCACTCACTAAAAAGGATCCCTGCTTGTCTCTTCCTGTTCTCCTATCCCTAGAGGTGTACATATTGGGGCCATTGGTTATTTTTTATCCTGAGATGAAAGAATAAAAGAAAAGGGTTGCATCTCTTCCAGGATGGCTCTTGGGGCCTCTGGAACACATCCATGTGATGTTCTGGACAGCAGAACAAAAGCTGACTGCCTTCTTTCTAGTCTAGCTTAGGGCTTTGGAAATGGTCAGAGGCCATTACATAGTAATGGCCTTGCTGATTTGGGACTGTCTTCCACCAAGGTACCATTGCTTCCCTCAAGGCCCTATACCAATGCTTCTGAACCTCAACAACTGTAAGTAATATGGACTTCAATTTCCAGAATTCTCCCGGGAATCCCCAACCCCTGCTGGCTGGGGAATTCTGGGAGTTGAAGTCCACACCTTTTAAACTTGCTGAGGTTCAGAAACACTGTCCAATATGGGCCACATTTGCTATCTGAATTTTTATGCATTGTCTCTTTTTTCTAGGTCAGAAAAAAGGCAGCTGTGTGGCTTCTGAATACTTCCTGGAGCCGAGGCCTGACCCTGATCCTGAAGGGCCCCTTGTTACGGAGAACACGGAAAATATCCTCAGTAAGTAGATAAGACATCCAGACATGATACGATGGCCAGCATTAACAATGGATAAATTAATGTTAGGCGCATATTGGAGGGGTGAGCCAAATAAGCACAGCAGCTAAAGGAAAGAGTTGATGCTCTACATACAGTATGTCCCTCTGCACCCATATACAGCCCCAGCTTCCTAACTTATATCTCAGCCCACCTTTAATTTTTAAAGCCATTCACACAACTGCAAGTCCGTTGTCTGAAAGGTCTTGCACATAAAATACAGGTTCTTTCCATTTAAAGGACAACAATCTCAGCCCGCAATGCATTCCTTGCCATTATTTATTTTATCCACATCAGATGCACATCTCCATCATTTCCAAGATTTTAACAACCACAACCACAAAAGGTATCGCGCTGACCCTTCGCTGCCACATGCTCAGCAAAGTTAAGGTTGCAAGCCTGCCTCTTCCAGCGTTATGGTGATGGCACGTATTTTGAGTTCACTTACAAATGTTTATGAATAGTCAGCCTCAATACAGAGTTGTTAATTTTCACAGATGAGAAAAAGTACTTGCACACTTTGCAGTTGAGGAAAAGGACACTAAATGCACTAACAGAGAAGCACTTGGAGAGGAGAGAGAGAAAGAGACCACCAGTTTTTCTGGCCTGCCTGACTCTTCCCTGTCTGTCCAACAGTAGCAGAAACAGTTCAGGGCAACTGGCAAGTCAGGAGCAACGGACAAAGATTGACGGGAAGGGCATCTCCACCACCCCCAACCCGAAATCTACTGGATTTCCAGACACAGCTTCTGAGTTGAATCCTGGTTTGCCAATGGTTTGCCCATAGCATTTGAGAGAAATCTGCCATGTGCAGAAGGGGCAATGATGGAGGACTTGGGCTCGAAGCCCCCTATGGCTGGGGTTCATGTCAGAGACTACAGCAATTACCTAAGTCTGTTTGTATTGGTGAAGGGGCTGGGCTACAAACCAGCTGAGTTCTAGTCCCCCCCTTAGGAATCAAAGTTGGCTGGGTGACTGGACCAATCACCAGGAGTCTATGCGTTCTAGTCCCACCTTAGGCATGAAAGCCAGTTGGGTGACTTTGGGCCAATCACCAGCAACCTATGCGTTCTAGTCCCACCTTAGGCATGAAAGCCAGCTGGGTGACTTTGGGCCAATCACCAGCAACCTATGCGTTCTAGTCCCACCTTAGGCATGAAAGCCAGTTGGGTGACTTTGGGCCAATCACCAGCAACCTATGCGTTCTAGTCCCACCTTAGGCATGAAAGCCAGTTGGGTGACTTTGGGCCAATCACCAGCAACCTATGCGTTCTAGTCCCACCTTAGGCATGAAAGCCAGTTGGGTGACTTTGGGCCAATCAACAGCAACCTATGCGTTCTAGTCCCACCTTAGGCATGAAAGCCAGTTGGGTGATTTTGGACCAGTCCCCCTTTCTCAGCCCAACTCCCACCCCCCAAAGGAGTGTTATGTATGCCACTGTGAGTTGAATAAGAATAAAGGCAAGATAGAAATCAAACCAATCAGTTCATAAAAAATGGAGCCAGGGTTTGTGTGCTGAGCATCGTGTTGGTAAATAAACCAAACTCTGCCTCTGGTCACCTCTCAGTTGCTGGGCTGGGACATCTACCCAACCCAGATTCAGATGGTGCCTTGATCTGAGCAATGCAGACCACTACTTGGCTGTGATCAAGTATGCCCCATTCCTCTGTCCTAGTGGATCTCTGCTTTCTTGTGGCTCCCCCCACCCTTACTGTGGCTGTCCCAGCCTTCTGGGATGGCTTGAGAGTTGTGGGGCAGTGCAAAGGGTGTGTGTGTGATGTAAATCAGAGCTCGTGTGAGTGATGGTGTGAGCACAGCAAACATTGCAGCATCAGGACGAGGCTAGCTGAGCAGCAGTGAGCCGAACAAGCCCAGTTTGCCATGACGTCACTGTCAAATTTGGATTTCTGCAGGGGAGGGTGACATTCTTCCTCGACACTTCCACTTTTGCCAGCACCCCCTCTGCAAGTGCCCCCCTTTTTGAGTCACCTCTGTTTATAGTATATTTAAAATGCTGGTAGATTACAGAAATGACTTGGAGGGTCAGGCAAAGCTGCAAGTGTCAGGCTCACGTTTTATACTTTGTTAACTACAGCTACAGTCAGGGGCGGTGCGATGGCTCAGCAGCTAAAGACAAGCTGAGCTTGCCAGGGTTCGAGACCCAAGCTCCACACATCGGAGTGAGCTCCCGTTACTTGGCTCAGCTCCTGCCCACCTAGCAGTCTGAAAGCAGGCAAATGGGAGTAGATTAATAGGAACCACTTCGGAGGGAAGACAACAGTGTTCCATGCACCTTTGGCGTGTAACCATGCTGGTCACATGACCACGGAAATTGTCTTCGGAGAACGCCGGCTCCCTCAGCTAAGAAAGAGAGAGTGAGACATGACTGACAGGGAAACCTTTACCTTTACCTTTAAATACAGCTAGTCCTCAATTTACAACCATTACAACAGTACTGAAAAAAGTAACTTACAACCAGTCCTTGTACTTACGCCCATTGCAACATCTCCATGGTCACATGATCAAAATTCAGATGTTTGGCAACCACCAAGTATCTGCCAGGGTTGCGACATCCTGGGGTCATGTGACTGCCATTTGCAGGCTTCCCAGCCGGCTTCCGACAAGCAAAGACAACGAGGGAAGCCACATTTTTTTCATGATTACATGATTCACTTAACAACTGCAGTGATTCGCTTAACAAGCGTGGCAAAATGATCGTAAAATTGGGTGCAACTTACTTACTAACCACCTAGCTTAACAACAAAAATTTTGGTCTCAATTGTCATAAATCAAGGAGTACCTGTATACTTGCAGACCATCAAAAATGACCTGGTTAGGTTGACTGGAAGGATTCCATGGGCCCAAAATCTGAGACATCTGCTTGATGTCACAGCCATGTATAAATGTGTGGAGCATTTCTGCCTAAGGCAGTGGTTCTCAACCTGTGGGTCGGGACCCCATTTGGGGTCGATCGACCATTTCATGGGGGTCGCCAAGCAAGGCTGTCCACCATTTTTTTTGTCCGCCATTTTTTTTGTCCACCATTTTTTCCCCCTTTTCCGGCGGGTGCCTTACCTCCCTTGGGCTGGGCCAGCTGGTGGTCGGCCTGCTCTGTCTCTGCCGCTTGCCAGCTACGCCTCGGCTGGCGCAGGGGGCGGAACCACGCATGCGCGGCGCTCCCGGGCAGGGAAAGTCCTTGTCTTACGACCGGTTGGGCAGTCCTCGACTTACGACCGGTTTAGTCCTCGACTTACGACTGGTTTAGTCCTCGACTTACGACCAGTTTAGTCCTCGACTTACGACCGGTTGGGGTCGCGGCATTAAAAAGGTTGAGAACCACTGGCCTAAGGGCTTGAGGTCTGGCATCTTTAAATCTCATCTCAGCTACCAATGCACTAGGTGACCTTGGTCAAGTCACCAGTTCTCCAATGCAGAAATTGGGGTCTGCACGAAGGCCATAAAAAAACAAGATGGCGGTCATAATCATGTCATCAAAGCACCACCCCTTTTACCTATGTGCAACATAAGTGATTTGGGTTGTTTTTTGCCCCCTAACATTACCAACTGTCAGGAAGACATCCACAAATTTTGGTAGTCATAAGGAGATGGAGAAGGTCTAAAAAATTGTGCCTCCTCTTATTGCTGACCCCTGCTTAGTCTAGGAACAAAACCATCAATGGTTGTGATCCGTAGGGATTTAATGGGGGGGGCAAGTTAAAGAAAGCAATTAGTGGATGCCTCCAAGTTGTATGCCACTCAAAGGTTCTTTGAGAAGGGAATATTGTAAAGTAAATAAAAATAAAGTTTATTTCTCCTCCCACCAAAAGTAAACTGCTGGCAGGAAAACAATAATCACGCTCCCTGACAAGGGCCAAGCTTGAGCACATAAGAATGTGCTTGAAATGACATATTTGGCACAGTGGCAGAGGTGCCCAGGCATATGACGTGTCCCTCAGCCTATTTCTGAACATGGGTCTACCACTTTTCTGAAAGGGTGCTAAACCCCTGTCTGAAAATAGTCTGAATGAAAGAGAAAAGGCCTGGATATGAAATTGGGATTGGGGGGGGGGGGAAAGGAGTGATGAAATGGAAGGAAGTGATTGATAAATCAACTCTATTTTTTTGCTAGGGCTATAAGGGAGTAACTAATTGATTAAGAATGATAAATGATTAATAGATCCAGTTCTGACTTTGTGGCTGATGGTAGCCAGGCCCGGCTACTGCAGTTATGGGCTCAGGAATTCTGGGAGTTGAAGTTTGCAGGGCATAAAGGGGGCCATAGTTGCCCATCCCTGGGTTAGTGGATGACGATGGAGAACGTGCAAATATGATTGCCCTGTGCATAATAACAGCAGTCACCACCATTGAAGTCAGAATACAGCAAAATGGAGGCACCCTCCTCATCAACCAAAGTAAAAATAAAGTAAAATAAAATAAAATGAAAAGTATAACCATGCAAAACCAAGCCAAAGTTATGCAAAATCTGTCATGTACCTAACGAGGACAGAACCACAAAAACACAACTGGGAGGAGCCAGTTTTCCTGGTTTAAACCAATCTTTTATGCATAACAGAACTATCTCTCTCAAAAAAGGGGGCTAAACCTGTTTTCAAACAAAGGTCTAGTCCTTTTTCAAAAGAGCACTAAATCGCCCTTTATAAGGAGCCAGCATAACATCTGACAATGTTTTGGAAAAGTATCTCTGCGGAAGCCAGGTTTCTAGGTTTTCTGGCAGTTCAAGTACTGCCTATGAAGGGCAGGTTCTCACAATCAACAAGACCCTCATTAGCCTAAAATGGCCCATAGCTGAGCAAGTCTCATCCCCTCACTGAGTTAGCAACCATCGTCTCAATGAAGCATTCCAGATTATCCCCATGGCAAAAATTATGTTGGAAGAAAAGGGAAAACTCCACGTGGAACATCTGAGGATAACTTGAAACTGGCTCAGTTTCTGATTGGGATT